AAACAACTCTACCTGCAACAACACATACAAACAATTTACAATACAAAATTATAGAAGTTTTCTTGTTATATAATATTGCTGGACTGTCACAGGCGAGCTACGAATTGAAGCACACTAGGGGCCTCGTTTTACAAACAAACTCGACTTAATAAAAGTTGAACTCGTAACCTTAACATCACCAACTAACATCTTTTTTCATCAAAGGTAAATCCTTAGCTGCGTGCCAAAATACACCCCACTGTCAGAATTAAAAAATGTTTCTCTCAAATTAAAACCAAAGTCCAACCAGTGGTTTAATCGGATGCAAAAACAATTCTGTTACTCCAGTTTCTTTGTAAAATGGGGCCCAATACTACCTATGGCCTTACCACAAATTTTATTTACAGATTGGTTCAACATTCATACATGTGTGTATATGAATACTGACGTTTCATGTATTGCACCTGAAGTGTGCAATTTTTGTAAATAACGAACGTGTAGTGCAATGTTACCTAAAAGAGCACCCAAAGTAGATGCCACAGAGGCCTCTACACGAATTCCCCACAGTCTGGCACTTGACATACTACAAGTCGGTGTAATTCAGCTATCACTTTAAACAGAAAACAAATGCCAAGAAATGATTAGCATTAAAAAAATTAAATAAAATGTTTTCTTTTAATATGTTGAATCTAGAGCAATCTAAAAGATTATCATTCTAGAAAAAATATTCACTCTTTTCTTTGATACCAAAATATAGGGAATATGTCATCGAGTAAGAAGGTCAAGGTTTAAAACATAGTGAAAAGAAATTAAAGTTGTTTGGTAGTGGCTGTGCAATAAACTGTCACATTCATTTGCAAGCAACATAACCTATCACGTTTTTCACTGAAATGTGAGAAATGCCAAGAAAAAAATTCCATCAGCCGTAAGAGTTATGAATTCAAAGTAACAATAACAGCATCTTCCAACAACAAGTAAAACTCAGAGAGTCAAAGTACTGAAGTGGTAAACTCTGAATTTTAGTGTTTTTTATTTTAAGAAACCATTATTGTAACTGAGAAATATCAAATTTTCTTAACACCTGCTGCCACCTCTACCAAGCACAAGAAAAAAACCTCAGAACCAGCTTTTCCATACCAACCAATAGATGGCACTCATGCTCAAGATATCCTTTGACAAGTTATTGTAACCAACCTTTGCCAGTGACAGTCAGCAATCTTCTATCGAAAAAAAATATATATAACTTGCAGCTACCATAATTTCATTCACTAAAAAATGAAATTCTCACCACCATTGTAATTCATTGAAATTCAACAACCTAAAAAAAATTAACAAAAAAATATCTCAAGATGTAGTTTGCATACTATGTGCCGTCATTATATATTTCTCTCTACATATCTATGTTTGTAATATTTGTATGCACTTCTGGGCAATAACAACATATTTAATATTATAATAAGCAAAGAAGTAATTTTTTATATTTGAATTTAATTTTTTGAAATTAATTTAATTTATAATTTCAGAACTTAGAACTTTTTTTTGGTTTAGAAAGAAAGGTACGTTTTTAATGTATGAACAGTTTGCTATAATCAAATAACACTTAACACAAACAATAAAGAATAACCAAATTGGCAAGTAATTTATTTCATTTAAAATAAAGTCTGTCGATTTTTGACGAACACTATTGATGACATATCTTGTTAAAAATTCAATCTGATGTTTAACAATTTAGTCATAGCAACAGTCTGCTTTTACCAAAAGTTAAAACAAGATAATGTTTGTACTCTGATCCATCTTGTCGCTTTGTTTGTGGAAATAGCTTAACTAATTGCACACCTCAGGTAGAGGTTACAAGCAAGTTGTTAGCCTATTTTTGTATTCTCTTGGTATATTTTTAAGCAGGCCTCCAATTATCACACATAATAAAAATTCAAATTTTTTTCTTGAATTTTAAAATCAAATAATCGTATTGCCCTTCAAACCTTTCGTAAACTGAACGACACTTATTGAACTCATACCTAGACACATGGATAGGTATTTTACTTATTCTGAATAGTGAGTACAAGTTATAAAAAATACTTTTTTTTTCTTTTTCACAATATATGCAAAGTCCAACAATCATAATTGAATTGGATATACCGATTCATCATTTTTACATACATCTCAAGCATATTTGTTTGCTAAAATTAATTATATATATATATAATTAAATTACGTACTTTGACGCTTTGGTCAGGAGGATTACATGTAGCACACAGGACTATATAATTTACGAATTAAGCCTATGATTTACAGCACAATTGATAGGTGGGGTATGCTTTAAACCCAGAGTGGTTATATACACGAAGCAAGTATGGAAGAATAATATCTGCATGTAAGTATATGGATGTTGTAATTTAAAATATATGCCGATATTTTCTCATTCCGAACATTCACCCCTCCCCCTCCCCCCAAAAAAAGAAGTACACATCTCGAACAGAGCCATAAGATGATTTCTAAAATTACTGAGTACTTAATGAATCAATCAATTTAAAAGGNCTCCCCCCCCCCCCCCCCCCCCCAAAAAAAAAGTAGACATCTCGAACAGAGCCATAAGATGATTTCTGAAATTACTGAGTACTTAATGAATCAATCAATTTAAAAGGCCCAACACACTGAGACAATCCTATGATGTTTCTTGAGTTTGTGTCTCGTGTATATAGTCATTAATGGCGCTGAATTAGTGACGGCAGAGCGAGATCCGCTTATTGGCTCTGGAGACGACGTTCAGATGTCAGCAGTCGCACCTCATCTCGCAAAACTTCGTTCTCGTCTCGAAGTTCACCATACGTGGGTGTGTTTTGAGCTCCTGTTTTAAAGAAAGATATAATATTAACTGAAAAAATAATAATAGGTATATCCGAAACAATTCTGGTGCAGTTTTTAGTGATAACGTGTTCATAGTGTACTGATTAACATGTAGGCCTATATATGTAAACCGAGATGAAAATACCGTAATTGCCACCAATGTCATTAATCATCCACACGAAAAAAAGAACTAACAAACTGAAGACTTGTAAATCTATTATATATACAATGTAAAATGTAAGGAAATTATATCTACAAGTCAGAGCATCAAATACCTTTAATGGCTTGTGAAAGCTTTGGGATCAATTCTTCGTCATCAAAAAGAATGAATTTCAAGCCTTTTATCTCGGCAGGAATTTCCTCAGGTGAAATGTTCATTACCACCGGAATGAGGACATCTCTTTTCGCATAGAGGGCTTCTTGCATGGCATATTGCAGTTCTTGTTGACACCATCGACTTTGGACAAAACTCTTGGACAGGAACGCAACGGTATGTTTAGATGCAATGATCGCTTCACTTATGGAAGTAATCACTTGTGTTCCAGGAATGAGGTCTTCTTTGGCGTACCAAAGCTTAACCCCCAGTTCTTTTAGCTGGTGTAGAACCGGTTCTATCGTTTCTTCATCCTCGCCGCTGTACGCAATGAACGCGTCGTGGCGGTATTGATCCAAGGACAAACTGGGAATATAAAGTGAGTCGTGGCTGTGATAGATATACACACTCTTGTTAAAATATGTATATGCACAATAAGCAAGGGCACAGAGTTTATGCTGTTTATGCAACCAAAATTGTAGAAAATGTTTGAGGTGAACAAAGCAGTAAATGTAAATACTTAAATATCTTTAAAGTATCTGAGCGCCTTCAGGTGAATAAAAATAGCCTGACTTATTCTACTACTAGCTCTAACATTCAAAACTGCACTCACCTAGCATCTTGTTGGTTAGTGGTTGTTGAACGCGACGTGTGCATGTGCCTGGCAGTGACCAAGGTTTTACAGAGGGCTTCAAATTCATCTGGGGTCATGTTGGAAATGTCCTTCACCACCCCAGCATAATAGTCCCCTGCCGCACCTGTATGGGAGAATTGTTAAAAGTAGCGAAATCATAAGAGGCGGATATAGATGTGATAGGCCTACACATGTAGGTTGTGCACAATCATTAATCATTAGATGCTTTATAGTATTTAATAACGACACACTATTAAATATTACTGGAAATAATAAAAGCAAATGCGCACATCTTTGATGCAGTAACATGCCCGTTCATGGGCAGACATTTAAGATTCACGTTCGCTGTCATTTTTAAAAAATAAATCTTGACGTAAATATTCCATCAGTCTCTACGGTAAGCCTACCATCTACAATACATGTACACAAACATAAAAATAAGCACAAATGATAAATCATGCAATGTATTAGTATATACACATCTCATTTTATAGTCCAATTACCGACAGTTGTTACATGTACAACGATATTATAAAATATAATGTATTTTTATGTATGTCAAAATAATAAGTAAACATTGCTTTTACTCACTGGAAAGTCGTGGAAGGTTTGTAGCCTGTAGCCCGACACTTAAGTCTCTAATATTTGTATAATTGTTCTTGTTGACCCAGTCTTTCAGTCCCTGCACTTTTTGGAATTGAAAGACGTCAGGGAGGTTCGTGCTCAGGTTGGTCTGGTTAATAATGGTATATTCAGCAGGATCTAATAGTTCAGCTAGGTGCTCCAAAGTCCTGGTCTGTACATACCCCTGTAAATATGGTATCAATTAAGTTATTTTACGGGAACTGGTATATTTCATGAAATAGTTATTAAAATATCGTCCATGAACTCGGGACGTGCACAGTTATAATCCAGGACACTTGACCTCTATACACCTGCCTTCCGGAGCTGAAGCTTAATATTAAATCATAATTGGTCATATGATTTAATAATATTAAACCATAATTGGCCATATAATTTAATATCTAAAAATAATATTCAAATGAATACATCTGATTAATGCATGGTGCTCGAGAGGCGATGTTTAAAAAATACACATAAATGTGGTAAAGAATAAACTGATTTGAAACAAATACTCGGATTTATGTATTTTTCAACTGCTAATCGAAACTCTATTATCATAATCCAATGTTATTTAAGGGCTTAAGGTTGACCACGTTCACACTGCTACATGTATACCTGTATATCTGGTATTTCAAATCGCCTCAACAGCTCTACTAGGGCAGCTTGTTTTTCGTCCTCTGCCACAAATCTTGGTGTCTTTCTCCACTGTAATAGCAAAACTTTTGTAACTTACTGGATGAGGAGGAAAATGTAGGATTTAAGTGCAGTCTAGTAAAATGGTGCTTTCCCGTAATACGGTCTTAATATGATTTCTGAAAAAGGTGTAGCCATATACCTGAGCTTGGACTCTTTTTAAACACTTACCTCAGACTGTATACTGGTATCCGCCCCGTGTTGTGTTCGGCCGAACATGACAGCGCAGTGAAGTGGTGTCCTCCCTTCCTGAGAATATGGACAAACAATGTGAGTAAACAGATAATCCATGTTGCAGAAACATGCTAAGATTTCATTCGGGGTTTAAAATTATCAGTTACAAACAAAAATCATTAAGCACAAATTATCAATGTGATATGTGCAGGGTATAAACAATGTGTTGCGATACATGATTTAAGATCATTGGTTATAACTTGAAAGATCGCTAAGCAGGATATGTAAACCTGGCACAATAACTTCTAAAGTACATCGGAAAAGACATGTAGTTACACGCAAGTGTAGCGATATTGCTATGCTAAGAATATTCTACACTCACCTCAGTCTGTATAATGGTATCAGCCCCGTGTTGGAGGAGAAGCTGGACACATTGCGTGTGGCCGCACCAGGCAGCCCATTTAAGTGGTGTACACCCATTCTGAGAATATGGACAAACAATGTCAGTAAACAGATAATCCATGCCGTAGAATTATGTTTATCTCCATTGGGTGTTTACAGCAATCAGTTTTAAACTAAAATCGATAAGCAAAAAAAAAAAAAAAAAAAAAAAAAACTCACTGTGATATGTAAAGCATATAGGCCTACTGCAAACGATGTGATATTCGATACATATTCTAAAATGATAACTATGCAGAATATGTAAACCTTGTACAATAACTTCTAATAAACTTCGAGAAAGATATGTAGTTATACGCAAGTGTAGCAATATTGCTATGCTTAAAATATTCTACACTCACATCATCCTGTATATTGGTATCAGCCCCGTGTTGGAGGAGAAGCTGGACACATTGCGTGTGGCCGCACCAGGCAGCCCAGTGAAGTGATGTCCACCCATTCTGAGAATATGGACAAACAATGTCAGTAAACAGATAATCCAAGTTACAGAATCAAATTTATTTCCCCTGGGTTTTTAAAGCAACCAGTTATAAACTAAAATCGATTAGCAAAAAAATCTCCCTGTAATATGTAAACCATATAATCGATGTAATTCGATACAGATTTTAAAATGATTACTTATTACTAAAGAGAAAGATCCCTATACTGAATATGTAAACCTCGCACAATAACTTCTAATGTACTTCGAAAAAGACATGCTAAGAATATTCTACACTCACCGCATCCTGTATACTGGTATCTGCCCCGTGTTGGAGGAGAAGCTGGACACATTGCGTGTGGCCGCACCAGGCAGCCCAGTGAAGTGATGTCCACCCATTCTGAGAATATGGACAAACAATGTCAGTAAACAGGTAATTTATGTTTCAGAATCATGCTTATTTCCGTGTGGGGTTTAAAATTATCAGTTATTATTATTATTATTTATTGCGGTTCAAGTACATTTTTTACAATGACTATGACCTAACAGTATACATTATATAATCATATAACTAAAATTACAATAGTAAATTACAATATTGTTTATACAATAACTGTGATCAGATTTTACAATTGCAGTATACGCTCAGTTACTTTGGTTGACTAGGTGGTGGTTGGTTGAGAATATTCTTTCTTTCCTTATTACACATTGTGATATAGTGGGCCATTTATTAACAAAATCGGTCAGCAGAAATTCTCACTATGATATGTATAAACAACGTCGCGTCGAAAAATATGTTTGGGACAATAGGCTCAGAAAAGAATTTATAGTTACCAGTCCCAAATCAAAATTATTAACTGGTAGTAGAAAATGACATACACTGTATGATAACTGTAGTCTCGCAATGCGAACTTCGTTAACAGCCCAGCGGCCCTGTAACTTACCAAAGATTAATTAAGTGTATATAGGCTTATCATTTTGTTGCTCTACAATACAGGTTGCAAAGTTCGCCTCAAACTCTTGTAGATATGTATAAACCTTTATTATTATAAATCAAAAGTAGCTTAAAAAATAAAAATAAATAAATAAAATAAAAATTGAAACATGGCTAGAGCAAAGCATAACGGTGAACGAAACCATAAACTGCACAATTCATAATCTCTCAATGTGGTATGTACACGGAAGAACAGAAACATATGGGTTTCTTGCTTCCAATATTCATGTTTTCCTGTACTGTATATCCAGTCCTACCCAACTACCAGACTCGGCACATAAGGATCCTGAATTAACCGGTATATCGGACCACACTACCCGTTTTCCTGTCCGTGTTCTGACTGATACTCCGAAATGCGATCTGACACACACCTTGAAAACGGGTAGTGTGGTCCGATATACCGGTTAATTCAGGATCCTTATGTGCCGAGTCTGGTAGTTGGGTAGGCCTGATATCGATATCTTGTCCATTCCATAAATGTGAATGTTGTTCACAGCTACTATTATTGTAATAATATCATAATCCCGTGGAGTACTTGAGGGGAGCAGTAAGGAGTGAGGCAGTTACCAAGAGAATGTCCACGGAATTTGTAATGGTCATTTCTACAATAGTGTAAATAGTTCAATGTGTATTGTTACTGTAATACTAAACAGCTGGACGATGTGACTAGTGACAGAGTAATTAACATTGTTACCTTGCTCTGGACATTGATGTCGCACTCTCCGGCAGTCAGCAGTTCCTGTAAACTCTGTATATTTTCATCCCGTGCAGCCCTGAGAAGCCTTCTGTCAGCCATACTGGCTAGCTGCTATATGTGGATATTCTTACGAAGAGCAATGAACGGTATCTCTGAAATAAGACGACCATTACAAGATATTGATAAAATCTGTTTTACCGTGTCATCTGTCTAAAAATGAACAGACTAAGGGCATACATGTATCAAAAACAAGGACAGTAGTATGGAGGGTATGAAACGCACATTTCTTTGTTAATTGGATCCGAATGTGACTACAACATTGGATCCAGGGGCGGGCACAGAGGACACGTATGTTCCCCTTCGTTAACTCCTGAGATATCCACTTAGCCTCCTTCTCACTCTCCAAATCACAGTATAACAAACAAAACAAGTCAAAACCAAGCCACTTCTCCAGACCTGTGATCTCACGTTATCCTGATTGTCACTTTAAAGGGTATCTAAAGGTTTTTAAAAGCCAAATAGGTGGTGTATATGTGTATTGCTTCACTACACTTGTGTGTTTCCAATTAAAAACGAGTTAATTATGTGCGGACACTGCATGGTGTGTTCATCTGTCAAAGGTTCCTGTGAATAGTTATTCCTCATATAGCGTAGGTTTCAATCATGGGCGTCAATGGGGTCACTCCCCCCTCCCCCTGGAATTTCGGCGGGCACGTTAATTGAGGGTACCCAGCCAATCATTATCCCCACCCCCTCAATGTCTTTTACCCCCCTCCCCGGCGAACTTTCTGCGGTCGCCCATGGTTTTAATCACAACAATAATACACGGTAGGTAGATTATATGAGTAGAAATATAGGAACATGTCGTCTCGTACATGAATATAGTAATACATATTTACAAAAGCAGTATTTTCTTTGCCATAGAGTTTATACTGCGGCCTCTGTGATATGCCATCCCTCTATGGGTCGGTGTATTGTGACCGTTCCTTTGCCTTCTTCCTTCCTATATACTGATTCACTCTTAACGCAACTATAAAATCTAATGGCTTTTAGTATCTCAATTTTCATAATAACATATTCACCTTTTCCAGATCGATTAGGCCCTACTAAGTGCAAACACTTTAAATGTTTATGATGCCTTGCCACAAATTTTTTACCCAGATGTTAACAACACACTGATATCCCAAGTAGAACTACATTGTACTTTAATGTTTCTTGTTCACTTTGATGTACTTGGCAAGGTACCTCAGAAATTCGAAAAATTTCAATAACTTAACGATTTTACAAGTTTCGTGCAAATGGCGACTCTCTATTATTAGAAATGTCGAGGGGAATTCCCCTTTGTTGCTATTGACTTTATTTTTTCAACTAAGACAAACGTCTAATTTAAGGACGTTTATAGTTCAATGGAGCACTACTTCTACTCCTTTTCATATAATACATCGAACAAAATTGGACAAAGCCAAAAAAATCCCAAACCCAATTGGTATGTTCGTGTGTGTGTGTGTGTTTCGCACATGATCAAGTCTACAAAAAATTAGCCCCAAAGCTTATAAATACAAGGTCGTTCTTCTTTAAAAGGTTATTTCGAACATCTATTAAATGTGACTTATATACATATCCCAACTGAGTTTTACGTATTTTTCCAATATTTTTTACGAAGGATTTAACTTGAGTTTTCAACCTGAGTACATTCACATACATATTCATGTACTTGTGCAAACAAAAATTACATGTCATTTCACGTAATTACTCCAAATCTGAATGACGTTGTAAGCAGGACAGATTGTATTGCCCCATAGTTAACAACACACTGATATCCAAAGTACAACTATTAGTAGTATGTCTCTTGGTCTCAGTGATTCAGAATTTCGTAAACACATACTACCTTACCTACTGCTAATGGCCGTTGGCGTACATTATTATTATTATTGTTGTTGTTGTTTTTGTTGTTGTTGCTGTTGTTGTTATTGTTGTTGTTGTGGACGTTTCTTTAACTTCTTCATTCATACCCTGTTTTATTCTAAATGCTCTTAATATCTACATTTTCATAACAACATATTCACCTACAAACAGAAAGTAACGCCAAATTTCCCAGATCGATTACTAAGGGCAAACACTTCCTCTCTTTATGACGCCTTGCCACGAATTTTTCCCCAGATGTTAACAACACACTGATATCCCAAGTATAACTTCTTGAACGTCTCTTGTTCACAATGATGTGCTTGACAAGTAACCTCAGAAATTCGACAAATTTCAGTAACTTACCGATTTTACAAGCCTCGTGCAAATGGCGACTCTCGATTATTAGAAATGTCGAGGGGAATTCCCCTTTGTTGTTATTGACTTCACTTTTTCAACTAAAGCAAACATCTTGTTCAAGGACGTTTATTGTCCAATGGAAGATGCATCTATAGTGTTAATAAGCTTGATATGTTTATGTGTATTAAACATTTGTCAGGGATGTAGGCCTATGACAAATTGAACATATTGATAACGTAATACAGAATTTTGTAAAACACCATTACCTTACCTACTGCTGATGACTGGTGCCGTACAATGTTATTATTATTATTATTACTGTGACCGTTCATTTAACTACTTCCTTCATACCTTTTTATTCTTTTAAAATGCTCTTAATATCTCATTTTTTTAATAACATATTTACGTGCAAACAGAAAGTAACGCCAAATTTCCCAGTTCGATCACTAAGGACAAACACAGTCAATCTTTACGTTAATTTTAACAGAGATGTTAACAACACACCGATAGCACAAGTAAAACTACTCTCTCTCTCTCTCTCTC